CTCACGACAGAGACTAGCCTTGGCAACGGAGGATTTTAGGACCCCAAGACTCACAGCAGAGCAGGTGCCGAGCTGGTAAAAAGCCCTGTCCCCAGGAATCCACCCTGCTGGGCCTCCCCAGGCTGAGCAGGAAACAGAGCCACCCCTCCCCCCCACCCCTGCAGGCTGCGTGGGCCCCAAAGGCAGGGGTACTGGCCTGTTCTGAAAGGCAGATGCGATGCTGAGGATCCAGAACTCACTGAGGATGCAGCCAAATGCCAAGTGGGTGTACTGGGCATCCTGCAGTGACACCACCCACGGGAACTCTGCGCTGCTGACCAAGTTCTCCTCGGAATCATCCACAATGGAGGATTTCTGGATGCCACATCCTGCAAAGGGGGTGCGGGCCTTATTGCTGGGGCCAGAAGTCATCATCTGTGGACACCACCATCCCACCAGACCTCAGGACCCCCTCTCCTACTGGCCCTCCATCTTGCTGGTCACTAACTGTATATCCCATTTCTTTCTTTATCCCAGTGGGTCTTCTTCTCCCATAAACAATGCTTGATGGCATCTTTGAACCTAAAATTCACATTAGACTACCGATAATCTCTTGAGCATTTAGCAGTACACACTGGCAGCATCTGAAACATTTTGAATACATCAGTAGTCCTCAAAGTGTAGCCCGGGACTTCCAGGAGTCCTCAAGACCCTTTGGGGTGTCTGCAAGGTAAAAACTATTTTCATAAGAATTCTAAGACATTGTTTTTGTTGTTGTTGTTGTTTTGGGTTTAGGGGGTTTTTGGTTTTTTGGTTTTTCACTCTCATTCTCTCCCTAGTGTACAGTGGAATTTCCCAGAAGCTACACGATGTCATCACTCTGATGGCTGATAGTACAGGTAAACTTGTGTGTTTTAAAAGTTTCCCAGCTTTAGTTTCTAATATGGTAAATATGGAAAGACGAAGCCCCATATAAGCAAACTCTTCTGGGGTCCTCAATTTTTAAGACTTTGGTTTGGGGACTGAAATGTTTGAGAACTGCTGATATTCATCACTTGATACAGTTCCCCCAACAGCCCTGAGAGGTGGACATTGTCATTCTCAATTTGTGGATAAGAAAATCAAGTGTTAGA